TAGACATACATACATACATACAGACACACACCCACGGACACACCCGCACGTACAGGCGTGAGTATACCCATAAACACATTATACTCTTTCACACATCCTCTCCTCCACACACATCAGTGCACATAGGCCTAAACATAACGATATTTATTATAATAGTACGCTTGCACTCACAGACTCACAGTTACATGCTTAATATTAAGTGAGCAGTTCAATAACTTTCTTTTTGTTTTGGTAAGTGTTTTACGGCGGTCGAGTAACTAGTAACTGCATAAGGTAATATGAGGGCGCCGGACACACAATTTCAGGAAGTAGGAAATATTGAGTTTTGCCCGGATGGCGGCCGCAGCCTACTCTCGATCGATTTTAGACTACCAAGGGATCTACTTTAATGTACGCATCTTGCGCACGGGACTTCCGAGATTTTTCGCCCTTGTCCGAGAAGGCTAAGTGTAGATCTTTCCTGCCAGAAGATCAGGGGTGTATCTGAAAGACAGCAGTAAGGAGCCAAGGAGTAGCAGTAGAACAGCTGCAGAAAGAGTCAGGAGCCCAGAGGAGGGAGCAAAGCAAAGGAGGTGAGGGGGTGGGGGTAGAAAGTGGAGACGAAAGCAGACGACAGAACATTGTTGGAGAGTAGGAAAGGAGGTGAAAGGAGACAATTCTAGAGAAGAAATTTTTTCGGTCGCCACCCGAATTCGAACCCGGGATCTTTGCATGAGATACGAACACCTTAACCTATAGGCCACGAGATCCTCTTATTCAATAACTGTTACCTGTAATAATAATAAAAATAATAATGATAAATTATAGTGATAAGCAAAATACATAATTAATTATTAGTATTCAAAGAAGGGAGGGGGGATATGAATTATAATACCTATTTCAAAAATTGACCTCAGACAAAGTGCAGAGATGTCAGCAGACAGTTGCTAGTAAACATCGTGTTTTCCACTTCGCTGGGCAGGCTCACAAACCACGTATGTGTAGCTCTTTGCGAATTTAATATGTAAATCTCATAAGGTTTTGTTGTTGTTGTTGTTGTTGTTGTTTGTTTGTTTGTTTGTTGTTTGGGGGGGCACGGGGGCCTTGCTTACTCAACGATACATGTTATCACATTTTCCCTGGTGAACTCGGAGATGTTTGGCCTTGTTGATGGTAAATCTTGCGAAAATCTTCATTCCAGTAAGAGAGGATCTGAGAAATGTGCTTCGTAAACAAAGATATAAGCTGAAGTCCTTCCTCGAACAGACCCTCTTTGTTTACGTGGAAAGTGGCATGTTTAATCAAAATCCTACCTAGATCTAGTTGGCCCCGTATCTGTTTACTGTACCACCACAGCTTTCATCGAGTCGCTCACCCCAGGGGGGCAACTGTCAAGATTATTCTATGTGCTGTCTCTCTCACGAGCTTCCTGTTTCTCTGAAACCGTTTCTTCTCCCTTCCACCTCCCCCCTCCCAATCTCCTCAGCTCATCATTTAGCCTTGAAGAGTGTTTATGTAGTCTGTAGCATCATTTACAACGTAAATGAAACTCAGGGAAAAGTTCTGTTTTATCTAGGGTTTTTTTTTCTTTTGCGAGCTATTTCATAAATTATTTTGTTTTTGTCCTTTGCACATCCGTTATAAAAGACTGGACTCCAGTTGACCAGTACACACAAGCACGTGTTGATGAGCTGAGACCAGACCATGCGTTCTCTATCTCTAGAGGCACCCGCTATACATGCTTAGCTGCCGTTTTTTCCTCTTTCCTCTCTGACTGTGAGTTGGTGAGCTGAGACTTTGAACCGCGCGCATTCATCAAAGTACCGCACCTGGGCGTGAGGCTACAGCAGGGTGAGTGACTTCCTCACAGAAATCTTACACGTACAGACTGAAGAGCTGCATTCCTCCTCCTCCTCCTCCTCCTCCTCCTCCTCCTCCACCTTCTCCTTCTTCTTCTTCTTCTTCTTCTTCTTCTTCTTCTTCTTCTTCTTCTTCTTCTTCTTCTTCTTCTTCTTCTTCTTCTTCTTCTTCTTCACCAATACCACTTGTGTTCTTTTCACGGCATCAGCACCATCAATGTTTTGACAATATTGTTAGTTTTTAAAAAAGCAAAGAAAAGACATTTCTATAATGATAATTATAATGAGTTAGCTGAACCATTGGCAGACGTGTATCGTGCAGGGTGTCCTTTCAAAAAGGACCCATTGAAAGGCCGATAACAAGACCAATTTCAAGAAGACTTTGAAATACAAATTTAAATACAAATTTGAAATCCGCAACTTTCAACCAGGGGGACGCCAGATTTGTCATAATATGAAAATCAGTTGACATGTTTGAGAAATAATATGAAATAAAAATTTTCAACCACAACCGCGTAAAACGCAAAACTTTACTTTTAAAAGTGCTCAGGAAAAGGGGCGTGATCGGTCCGCTCTGGTTTCAGACCGAGGACAGTAAAACCACGACCGTCACATCCGTGCTGAGAAAGTTTAGGAGACCCTTGTCTTGCTTATTATGCATTTCAACTTTAATCAATTTAATTCATATCCTTCATACTTGAGTAGGAAAAAATTGAACCTCTTATCCGCTCTTAGTTTTTGAGATTGTGTGCAAATCACGAACAGAAAAGCGTCCAAATCCGAATCATGGAATATTTGCTCTTCTGTTTTACAACGTGCTCAGTGTACAGATCAATAAATGTTTTCTTGACGAAATGCTAAGGGATATTTCCTCTCACCATCTCCTGTAGACTTTCCTACAAATTCAAGTACAGACCTTTGCGACTAAAGCAGCCGACTCCTTTCTCACGATGCGCCCCGCCTTGCTGTCTGGCTGTCTGGTTCTGGCAGCGGCGCTACTACTGTCTGTCGACGCCCTGGTTCTCAAAGTGTCGACAGACCAAGTGGAAGTTGGGAAGACAAAGAACGTCTCCCTGGCATGCGTGGGCAGTCAGCACCTGTCGGACATCTCCGAGGTCATCATGGTGAGGATACTGAAGAAAGATGTCACTGGCTGGACCACAGCGGCGGAGCGTGGGGGCGCCGGGACGGGGGTGACGACCACAGGTGACGATGACGTGATCGCCGAGGCCAGTAAAGCCAACAGCTATCTCCGGCTTACCTGGCCCGTGGCAACCAACGATACCATTGGCCAATACCGCTGCGATGTCATTGGTTGGACTTCCCAGATGAGCGTCAGCTGGCAGAAGAGCCTGCCGATTTTCATTTCCAGGAAGAGTAACGTCACCCTACAGGCCCTTAGCCAGGTGGTGGAGGAGAACACGGAGTCCCTGCAGAGACTTGGCTCTCAGACACAGACTATCATGGACAATTTCACGACATCTGCCGCGCACAGCCGGAGAGAGTGTCTGCGACACACGCGACACATGCTCCACAATCTGACGGCGAGACTGAACGCTCTCGAGACCAGAGTGGACAGCAGGTGGGAGAGCCAGCTGCAGGTGAGAGTCCCTCCTTCCTTGTTCTCTTTCACACTAGTGACCACAGACGGTTTTTGGGGCCGGGATTGACCACACTAGAGTGACCAAAGACGGTTGTTTTTTTTGGGAGGGGGGTCATTGACTACTCTAGTGACCACAGACGGGTTGTGTGTGGGGTGAGGGG